GCTCTCTCGTTGTTACAGTCTCCGCCATGGTCTCCTGATCGGTGTGGTTCACCGGGGGGGTTTCCTGTTCCCTCTGCTCTGCCGTGGTGGTTCTCTGCTCCGCTGTGGTGGTCTACTGTCTGGTTCTGGTGGTCTGCTGCTCCGCCATGGTGGTCCTCTGCCCCGCCGTGGTGGTCTACTGTCTGGTTCTGGTGGTCCTCTGCTCCGCCGTGGGGGTCCTCTGCCCCGCCGTGGTGGTCTACTGTCTGGTTCTGGTGGTCCTCTGCTCCACCGTGGTGGTCTCTCCTATCCTTGGACCTGGCCCTCCGTCCCTCCCCCTGTTCCGCCTCCGCTCCACCGCCCACCTGGCTCATTTAGTGTTTGGAGAGTCTGGAAGCCGCTCCTTGGGGGGGCGGGGGCTCTGTCATGAATTCAGTCCATGGACTTCCGTTTATTCACCACCAGAGGTCACCCTTTCCATTACATTGACTCTAGCACAACACAAACTGTTGCATAGCACCCCGGACTACATATCCCATCATTCTTTGCACGATTTGCACACTGCACTGATTGCACTCATTGCACACAGTTTCTAATCACCTCACTCACTATATAACACCCACTCTAACCACCTTTCTCGGCTGAATATTGTTTAGCCTGTACCCCTTTCCGAGTCTCCGTGTTTTCCTTGTTTTGCCTTGCCTGTTTTTGCGGTTTCTGATCTTTGCCTGTTTTCCTGGCAAAACAGCTCATTTGGATCTGAGGTTCAAGATGACGTCACCCAGGCGCAGTCGTTGCATAAACACTCCCTCCAGAGCAAGACGTTGACAAATAGTCATCTTCTTATCTTAAGCCACTGGCGTTCACTCCCTCAATGGCTGACACTTGATTACACTGAATGCGAATGTTTTGTCACATCAATTGACGTTCTGACGTTTTTTGTGTGCAAAAAAAAAAACCCTTATTAACGCAAGTAAACCTCAAGTAACATATTAAAATAATATAATGTTCATGTCATGAACCCTTTACGCAAAAGAAACCCATCACCAAATCACTATAACTTCAGAATGCATCAGATGTTAAACTAAACCAATATCCTGAAAGCGGAATGAATTCCACTGCATGAAGCTCGGAAATTAGGAAACACATACTGCTCTAGTAAGGGTCACCAAATGATGATAACCACAGAAATAGAGTTTCACTCATGCTGACCATGTGCGCATGCAGAAGCCTGTTAAAATAGCCCATTAGCAAGAGGATCCATAAAGCTCGATTTCACTTTAAGTTCCAAAGGTGACCATTGTTCAGTACAAATGTTGCAAACCAGGAGACTATCAGCAGCTTTTATGAGCAACTGCAGAGACTCGGTTGAGGCTCCATAATTGGACATTGTTATCATAGTTGGCGACTTCAATGACGGAACAATCTATTGGTTAGAAGAACTCCACTCTAGTGACTAGTCTTTTCACAACACAAGATCCACAAGGCAACATGGATATCTCCAGATGCAAGAGCAGAGGACCATATTGAGGTGAGGTGACGTGACATGTGGCCAAGTATGGTGACCCATACTCAGAATTAGTGCTCTGCATTTACCCATCCAAAGTGCACACACACAGCAGTGAACACACACACACACACCGTGAACACACACCCGGAGCAGTGGGCAGCCATTTATGCTGCGGCGCCCGGGGAGCAGTTGGGGTTCGGTGCCTTGCTCAAGGGCACCTCAGTCGTGGTATTGAAGGTGGGAGAGAGCGCTGTACATTCACTCCCCCCACCTACAATCCCTGCTGGTACGAGACTCGAACCCCCAAACTTTGAGTTATGAGTCCGACTCTCTAACCATTAGGCCACGACTGCCCGCCTAACTATATCTCAGAGATGGAGAAGAAACAAACAGGTGCGTATGAATTCATTGATGCAGTTTATGGAAATAGATACTGAATTAATTAATTCTTACATATGCAGGTAGGATTAGGAACGAAGCACACACCTCAGTATGGAGCGGAGCACAGAAAGTACCACTTTGAAACACACTCCTGGAAAACTCAGGAGTAACACATGGAGAATCATTTGGAAACACCTGTTTCAGGAGACTGCTGAAAAGGGTCCGTGTCCTTGTCTAAGGCCAGACATTGAGTAAACTGTGTGTGATCATTGGTGACATTGATGTGTGTTCATCTCAGGGTTCCTCAAACCTTGTTCAGGAGGGTCAATGCCCTGCAGAGTTTTGCTCCAACCCTAATCAAACACAGCAAGCTCACCAAGGTCTTCAGGATCCCTAGAAAATCACAGTTAAGTTAGTTTGAGCTAAACATTGCAGGGCAATGAGCTTCTAGAACTAGATTTGAGGAACCCTGGCTTATATGCTGTGACTGATGAGGTGAGTAATGAGACAGGTGCCGGTCATTAGAACTCTGGTTACTGGGATCATTAAGTTATGGCGGTGGTGGTAAGAAAGCCTTGTGAACTTGTGACAGTAATTTTAAATCTACATGAAACTGTAATTGAGAAAAACATATTAAATTTTACCCTGTAAACAGAACTGATTAAAAGTACAAATATTTGGTTTTAACAGAACTCAAGTACAGATTCCCCCAAACAAGTATAGGCTAGTAGTGAAGCACTATTACTCAAATAATTTTCCAATGGTCTAAAATAAATACCTTTCCCTAAACAGAAGTACAGTACAGTTTTCTTTAATTTCATACAAATGAGAAACTCTACAGTACACATTGCCATTTTCAAAGATCCAAATCTTGGTTTCAAAAGAAGGAAAATTAATACGACCAACCACACACAATGAAACACACAATAAAAGTAATTGGGGTGCAGTGTAGTTTGTTGTGAACTCTACTAATTTTCATTGTATGGACAAACAGATTTGTGAGTCATTTTTGGTGAATCCCTTCAAAAACTAATGTAAAACCATATTTCCAAATGATGAGATGAAATGTCAAAATCATGAGATGTAAGATGAAAAAGTAGCATGCATATGGAATATCTGGAATGTCTCTTTGGGAAAAGTGTTAGAGTAATGTGAAATTCATATGGTGAAGTACATTACAGTAATACACCATGTGTCAATCATCATCAGAATCAAATTTGAACAAAGCCACAATACAGTGTGTCAAAGGACTTTAATATCCCCTACCCTTTGCCACTATCTGAAAAGATTAATCTATCCTAACGAAATTATGTGGGGGAAAAAAATACAGCTTGTTTGACAGAATGTGATATGGTAATTAGGATCCATCCTTAACTGGACCCGCAGTTATTTGGTCATGCTTGACTTGTGTAGTTAATGTAATTTTCAGAAAAGAGGGCCACAGGAATTATCTGCTGCCTTCAGCAGCTTGATGTATAATTACTGCAAGTTTTACAGGTGTATCTCATGCTGAGGGGACCTGTCAGTGAAATCAGAAAATATCTAGAATAGACAAAGCGTCGGTGTACAGCCGGTTACCACACAGAATACTGAAAATTTTTGGTCAACTAATATTTTTAGACTATTAAGTCTATATTATTATTAGACTTACTTTCTCATACTGTGGCCCAAAAAAAGTTAGATAAAGTCAAATTGCATCTGCAAACAGATGATATTAGAGTCTAAGAACTCAATTTCCTGGGCCATTTCTGCAATGACATTTACACTTGTGAGTGTAGTTCATCCACAGGTGTAGTTCATCTATGAAGATTACATTTTTACCAACAGAAAGTGTTTAAACTTAAGTGTTTCATTACTTAACCCTCTGGTATTGTTCATTTGGGAGTCACAGTTGTGTTGTTTGTAGTCAAACGTGACCGGACACCTGAAATTTAACTTGTTTTTCTTCAGTAAAATCAATGTAATATATTTTTGTTCAATAATATTTTCTTATATATTTTGTATTTTGAGCGAATTTCATGGTACTAAATATTTATGCAATAGTTTTGATAAATTTTTCCCACTAAAAATAATACAGAATATTTTATTTTTAAAAAATTGGCAGTAATTCATGTTAAAATAGAGACAATGCCTTTAAAATCCAATTTTTGAAATCAGATTAGTACCATCTGGATGGAATAAAAAAAGAAAAACTTCTGCAATTTCATGGTTTAGCCACTAGATTCCTATATAGCTCTATATTAAAGGCTTATAAATTATTTAGTTGTTTTTAGACAATTTTATTTTATTTTTTTTTTAAGTTGTGGATTTGGATATACAGTGGGTACGGAAAGTATTCAGACCCCCTTAAATTTTTCACTCTTTGTTATATTGCAGCCATTTGTTAAAATAATTTAAGTTAATTTTTTTTCCTCATTAATGTACACACAGCACCCCATATTGACAGAAAAACACAGAATTGTTGACATTTTTGCAGATTTATTAAAAAAGAAAAACTGAAATATCACATGGTCCTAAGTATTCAGACCCTTTGCTCAGTATTTAGTAGAAGCACCCTTTTGATCTAATACAGCCATGAGTCTTTTTGGGAAAGAGGCAACAAGTTTTTCACACCTGGATTTGGGAATCCTCTGCCATTCCTCCTTGCAGAGAAGACAATATTTTGTAAAGGTTTATATATTTTTTTTGTTTGAAATGTCAGTTTTTGCATTAATTGTACTACAATCAAACCTGAACACAGAGAAAAACATTTTATTACACATAACATCCAAATAATAATAATAATAAAATTTAACAAAAATGAACAGGAATGCTTTATCAGAGATAAATCAATCTGATTTCAACCTCTTATTTGAGTCTTCTGGCTCAATATTGCCATATTGTTACAGCCACACCAATTAATTTTTGTGTGTATAATCGTGTGTTTTGTGTCTGTAAGTGTGTGTGTGTGTATGTGTGTGTGTGTGAGTGAGTGAGTGAGTGAGTGTGTTTGTACTCTTGTTGTTTTAGAGTGTAACCCCTTCCTTGGTGTCTGTGTTTTTACCGCATTGTGGCTGAATTATTGATTTTATTTCACACATTTGCAGAAACATGCTTTGTGTTACAGTCACACTAGTTCATATATGTGTGTCTGTTTTGCACTCTTGATATTTTGGAGAGTCACCCTTTCATTGCTGTGCTCTGGTTTTCTGCATCATAAATGATTTGTAGATTGTACACAAAAAAAATGTAGTATTTCAACAAACTTATTTCAGTTAGATGCCAATGTAATTAAAACATTTTCACACCATATTCATATTTTATTTTAGCTCAATTTCAATAAATGAAAACAATTTGTAATAGCTTTAGTTTTATACTTCAAATTAAACCTTCAGTTAGTTGCCAAGGCAATTTTAAGTTCCCTATCGATACTTCACTCGTACTGCGTCTGTTTAAGATGACTGGGGAAAACTCCTTTTTCTCGGATGACTGAAGCCTTTCAATAATGCAGTGTAACTGCATGGCCATTGGTTCGTGATGTGAATAAAAAACGAACCAATGGCTCAGCAGCGGAGCTGCACAAGCCTATGGCGGTAAGTCTCTGGTTCCCTGCCACTTTCCGGCGATATAAAAAGCAAATTTCAAAGAGCAAATTTTCGGCGTTGTTTCAAATGCCGTGCCATTACTGTCACTCACGGCGAGTGTGTTTCATGCTTGGGCGCCGCCCACCCTGAAGCAGCACTCATTGAGACGGAATGTCCTCATTGCGAGGAAATTAGTCTCGCCTCTCTGCGCTCGCAGAAAGCTTTCTTTTAAAAGAGCTACTCCGCCCCTTGCGCCCTCCCGCTTTCTTCCTCCCAGGAGCCTGTGAGGAAAAAGCAGCGGGGCAGAGGAACTCAGCGCTCGGTGACGAGTGAGCCCACGCCGGCTGAGCCCCCGTATGCCTCACTCTCTACTCAGAGAGGTTTCTCCTGTCCACTTCTCCCTCCCAGACCAGTGTCCCTCTACGGCTGCAAGTGATCTGGTCTCATTTGGAGGAAGCGAGTGTGACGCCATGGACGACAGCATGTTGTTGGAGGCTTCAGATGCGGAGGAGCTGTCGGGCTCGAACGTCAACCCCGCCCCCTTGCCATCTGCACAACCCAGCACAGCCAGCACGGGCAAGGATACCGAGCTTTTCCGTGTCCTGTCTAAAGCGGTGGAGGAGCTGGGTTTGGAATGGTCTCCTGCGGAGGAGCCCACCCGCAGCCGCCTGGATGAGTGGTTCTTGCCAGGGCGCAGTCAGGCCCCCTGACAACGAGCTTCACCATTCTTTCCGGAGGTCCACAACGAGATCACCAGGTCTCGGCGTGCCCCCTACTCAGCCCGCCTTCATGGCTCATCTTCGTCCGCCCTCACATCAGTCGACGGCGCCGAAGAAAAAGGTTACGACAGACTGCCTCCCCTGGATGAATCAGTGGCCGTGCATCTCTGCCTGCCCATGGCCATCAGCTCGAGGGCAAAGGCTGCCCACACGTCCAAGCTGTGTAGGGCGACTTCCGTTCTTGCCGGGCGAGCCTACTCGTCTGCTGGACAAGCGGCCTCAGCGCTTCATTCTATTGAGGTCTTACAAGTCTTCCAGGCCAAGCTCCTCCGTTGCATGGACGAGTCCGGCCCAGACCCTGCAGCTTTTAAGGAGCTGCGCAGTGCGACCGACCTAGCTCTATGCGTCACCAAGATGACAGCGCAGTTGATTGGCAGATCCATGGCCAGCCTAGTGGTGCTGGAGCGCCATCTATGGCTAAACCTGATGGAGATCAAGGATGCAGATAAGGTCCCCTTCCTCGACTCCCCGGTTTCCCCTACTGGCCTGTTTGGATCTGCAGTTGAAGGCTTCGCTGAACGCTTTACCGCTGCACAGAAGTCGTCCCAAGCAATACAACACTTCCTGCCAAAGCGCTCCAGCTCAACGGTTGCTTCTAGTCTCCCCAAAAATGTGCCGACTCAGCACCCCGCGAAGCCCGCACCACCAATTGCTCCCACGGCTCCTAAGCCCGAGCCTCGCCAGCACTCCCGCTCGGCCAGACACCAGTTTCCTAAATGCCAGGGCCCCCAACCCAAGATAGTGTTGGACCCTGCGCCTCAAGCGTCAACCTGATCTGCGGGACAGAAAGAGGAGGGGGCCGAGTCTCGCTGCAGCTGGACCACCCCCCCAAAACGCCTCTGTTATGCCTCCAAGCACCGCGTTCAGTTCCAGGTGCCGATGGCAGTGTGTTTGTGACCAAAAATACTTTTGTGAACATGATGCCCATTCTAATCGCGTCCACACAACCAACCGCTGTTATAGCGGGAAAAATAAAACACAAACATTTTCAAAAAGAGAGCAAATTTCCACTCATTGAGAGCATTAGGTCCCCCCCCCCCCCAGGCGGCCCACACCTCGAGCCAATCCAGCCCCTTGCCATGCGGGCCTTGGCCTGGCAGGCCATCCCCGGAGTGTCAAGCTGGGTCATGGGGATAATAAAATGGTTATACACTCCAATTCGCTCGAAGACCCCCACATTTCAGCGGCGTTGTCTCCACTTCGGTTCAGAGCGAGGAGGCACATGTCCTGTGCGCCGAGGTGAGGAATTTGTTGGCAAAAGGAGCCGTAGAAACGGTTCCCCCATCCGAGAGCGAGTCAGGCTTCTACAGCCATTACTTCCTTGTCCCCAAGAAGGATGGCGGCCTAAGGCACATACTCTATCTCAGATGTCCGAATCACACCCCCATGAGATGGCCGTTCAGGATGATTACATTGAAACAGATCCTCTCGCAAGTATGCCCAGGGGACTGATTCTTTTGCTGGACCTTAAAAATGCTTACTTTCACATCCAGATAGCCCCCCCGTCACAGACGATTCTTGAGATTCGCCTTCGAGGGAGTGGCTTATCAATACACAGTCCTTCCCTTTGGACTGTCTCTAGCTCCTCGCACTTTTACAAAGTGCATGGATGCGGCTCTTTCCCCGCTGAGACAGACGGGAATCCACATTCTGAATTACCTCGACGACTGGCTCATTCTGGCCCAGTCAGAGGCTGAGCTACTACCTCACATATCCCTCCTCCTCAGCCACTTAGAATGCCTGGGACTCAGGGTCAATTTTGTCAAGAGCGCGCTGTCCCCCAGCCAACGGATATCATTCCTGGGAATAGTTTTAGTCTCAGCCCAAATGAGGGCGGTAGCTGCGCCAGAACGTGCCCTGGCCATTCAGCAGCTCGCGGCCTCATTCAGAGTTGGAGCCTCTCGCCCCCTCAAGGTGTTTCAGAGGATGCTAGGCCTCGTGGCCTCAGTGTCTCCAGTACTACTGTTGGGCCTGCTCCGCATGCAGCCCCTTCAGTATTGGCTGAAACCACGAGTTCCATACCGCGCCAAGGTAGACCGGGCCAGTGTATCAGCCCTGGCCCCTTGGAAAGATCCTCGTTGGATGGAACGGGGCGTACCCCTGGGAATGGTCTGCAGAACACGGGTTGGGGAGCACTGTGCGATGGCAAGCCAGCTTTCAGCCACTGGTCGAAAAAGGAAGGCCGGCTTCACATCAACTGCCTGGAAATGCTGGCAGTGTGCCTGGGCATTCAAACCTTTCTGCCAGACCTAAGGGGATACCACGTCTTAGTCCGCTCGGACAGCATGACGGTAGTGTCCTATATAAATCGCCAGAGCGGTCTCTCCTCAAAGCGCCTCTTCGCACCTGTGGAGCGCCTCTTGGAATGGGCTCAGCTCAACTTGCGTTCGTTGAGAGCAGCGCATATACCGGGCAGGCTGAACCAAGGCGCAGACATGCTGTCTCGGAGCAACGTCCCCTCGGAGGAGTGGACGCTCCACCCTCAAACAGTTCAGAAAATCTGGGAGATCTTCGGCAGGGCAGAGATCGACCTCTTCGCCTCACAAGACAACTCTCATTGCTCAACTTACTTTTCAAAGGAAGTTGGCCCACGACTGGCCCAACCTCCTCCTCTACGCTTTTCCTCCGATCGCTCAGATCCCACAGGTGGATCAGGCGAGTCAGGGAACAGAGACGCAAGGTGCTGTTGGTGGCCCTGCTCTGGAGGAACCAGCACTGGTTTGCAGAGCTGTGCCAGCTGCTCTCGGCAGCCCCGTGGCCCATTCCACATTCCCCTGAGAAGGGACTTCCTCTCTCAGGCGAACGGAATGATATGGCAGCCCCAGCCCGAGGTGTGGGCTCTGCACCTTTGGCCTCTCGATGGGAGCTTGCGAACCTCCCTGAGAACGTGCTAAACACAATCTTTCAGGCTAGAGCACCATCTACAAGACGTCTCTACACCTTTAACGCATTTGGCCCTCAGTGAGTTCCGAGGCTGTACTGAATTATTTCTGGACGATGATACAAGGTTGGGCCGACCTCGTTGTGTTTAACCCTACTGCCTTTTGCGGGGCTTCCCTGCAAAATACTTGGTCCCTCTGGGCCCCCTTGGGTGCTTAAGGCAAGTTCAAGTATTAGTTGTTCCTCTAGCATAGCACGGCAGGATTGTACTGGTTCCCCAAGCGTCTTAAACAGATGCAGTACGAGTGAAGTATCGATAGGGAATGTACTCGGTTACTAACGTAACCTCGGTTCCCTGAGATACGGAACGAGTACTGCGTACTTTGCCATGCTATGTAGCTGCACGGCTCAGTCGTCGCTTCAGTCGAAGTAACCTGAGGATCCTATGGCAATGTGCCGCTTATATAGCCAGAGGACCCCGCCCATTCTGGCGGGCTTTACCGCCATAGGCTCGTGCCGCTCTGCACGATTTGTTTTTTATTCACTGCACAAACCAATGGCCATGCAGTTACACTGCGTTAATGAAAGGCTTTAGTCATCGGAGAAAAAGGAGTTTTCCCCAAGCGTCTTAAACAGATGCAGTACGAGTGAAGTATCGATAGGGAATGTACTCGGTTACTAACGTAACCTCGGTTCCCTGAGATACGGAACGAGTACTGCGTACTTTGCCATGCTATGTAGCTGCACGGCTCAGTCGTCGCTTCAGTCGAAGTAACCTGAGGATCCTATGGCAATGTGCCGCTTATATAGCCAGAGGACCCCGCCCATTCTGGCGGGCTTTACCGCCATAGGCTCGTGCAGCTCTGCACGATTTGTTTTTTATTCACTGCACAAACCAATGGCCATGCAGTTACACTGCGTTATTGAAAGGCTTTAGTCATCGGAGAAAAAGGAGTTTTCCCCAAGCGTCTTAAACAGACGCAGTACTCGTTCCGTATTTCAGGGA